ATGAACAAGAATTAGATGGAACCAGAAAAGAAGGCCCAGGACAGAGTGGGTTGGAGAATGCTGGTCGGTGGCCTATGCTCCATCGGAAGTAACAGGCGTAAGTAAGTAAGTAACAGGCTATCTGAATCTTGTTAATTACGTATTTGACATGAATTTCATGACATAAGAGAAACCATTTTAATTGTACTTACATACGACGATTCACTCCATGTGACAACGAAAATTACGACTATGAAGTATACATTGAACATTCACTATGAAAATGAATAAAATTGTACAATACAACTTATCTATAAACACCGATTTATGGTTAGAATTTAACGAATACCATGACAATTTTGGTCTGAAAACATATTTGTTTAACACCATGTAACGGTTAAGGGTGTACAATATTGAAAAGTGCCGAACGAGCACAAAACAACTGTCCATTATTCCCTGCTTCTCACTAAATCTCAAACTGATGTTGGGTCATGATGAGAGTAACCAATAAAGTCAGTCACAATGAAGGCTTAGAAACTTATGAGAAGTGGGTAAACTAAAAAATTGTAAAATATGAACGAATTTAGGGAGTGAAGTAGTCGAACGCGTTGACAACTTCACTTATCTTGGAAGTCTGATCGGCCCTAATGTGTTGGTGTCTCAAGAAATCTCAGCACGGATTCGAAAAGCTCTTTTGGCTTTTGACAACTTACGTCACCTATGGTGAATACGAGATATCTGTCTATCAATTAAGGGACGAGTATACTGCGCGGCAGTTCGTTGTTCTACTTTATGGCTGCCAAACGTGGACATTAGGAGTAGAAGACACTCACAAAATACTAATACTTGACCACAGACGTCTTAGAAATATTGCTCGCATCTGCTGGGATCACTGGGTAAGTAATAGTGTGGTTAGACACAGAGTATTAGGGAATGATGGTAAATCCGTTGGTGAGGTTGTGAATCTTCATCAACTGAGACGGTTGCACCGCATGTTGCGTATGCCTGAACACCGATTACCACGACGCACAATGATGAATAGTGTAGGGGATGGTTGGAAGAAAGTTTGGGGCGGCCAAACCAAAACGTGGCATCAGTGCTTGAAGTCACTAAGATTTGATCTGAGTCATGTTGGTAGATACAAACTATTTGATTGCGGCCCGCGTGACTATCATAACCAATGGTTGGAGACTTGGTGACATGGCTCAGAATCGATCACAATGATGTCGATGCATACATCCTTTGTCTTCCCTTAAACTATGAAATTTAAATCACTTCATATCTTTCTTCCTATGAATTAATTCTTCCTGTTTTATGTCCTTATAAACAATCTTTCTTTTATATATTACCACCACTGAATTAATTGCTTCTATGAATCCTGTGTTCATCTTGTTGTGTTAATGTGGTATGGCAACTTGAACCGATGCATATATGTGCCTGATCCTACGTTGTAGATGACTGACATACCATTTTTCCCTATTAATTAAAAAAACTAATAGACTAGGTAACTAAATCATGAAATTTAAAGTGTTTTTTTTGTTGAATAATTAATAATAAATTATTGGTGATAACAACCACATTTATTACTATGATATACACTTTGAAGTAAACAAAGACAAAGATGACCTTTAACCATCATATTCCAAAAAAAAAATTTTAATTCATGAATAATAAACACAATAATTTATTCATAAGATAATTAACATGTGACAGGATTCAAAACTTAATATTACCTCAATTGATATAATAATAATAATAATAATAATAATAATAATAATAATAATAATAATAATAATAATAATAGTAATAGTAATAGTAGTAGTAGTAATAGTAATAATAATAATGATAGTAGTGGTAGTAATAATAGTAATAATGGTAGTAACAATAATAATAATGATGATGATCGTACCAAGTCCAAATGTTTCACCTATCGAATCTGAACTAAATCCACGTGTATGTATGGTGTAATAAGATAAAAATTCATCAAAACAAAATATGATTATTTTATTTTCAAAGCTAAATATATGAATAATTGTTATGCTTTTTTTTTAAAAAAAAACTGTATTTATTTTGTTTTATCTTAAAACTTCAACTAATCATGATGATGAAATTAACGTATCATTTAATTGTGAATAAGTTATGAAAATGTAAATAGGAATATTATGAATAGTATAGAATAATTATATTTATTGATAATGGTTAACTAGAAGTTCTGTGCATCACAGATAATTTTGTCATCATTAAATAACATCAGATATTAGCGAATGATGTTTTAGGGTGTAGGAGTATGTTGGAAGGAAGTTAGGGGCATCCAGACCAAAACATGGCACAAATCCATGAAGTTACTGACAAGTGGACTGAGCCATGCTGGTAAGTGTAGACTATCTGATTGGGATCCGTGAGACGTTAGAAACCAATAGTTAAAGACCTTGAATGATATGACTCAAAATCGTTTGTAATGGTGCAGGTGCATCCACTCTTTATGATCGCTTGAATCCTTTATGTCCCTTTTTTCTCTTTCCAGATTTATTTCGGTGAATTATACTCCTTGAATATAATTTTCAAGCCCTATTCTTTCCTATTACTGCTTATACTTTTACTACCTCTAACACTATGGGATTTGGATGGACAATTGTATCTCTGTGCTAATGTGGTATGGAAACTTAAACTGATGTACGTACGTACGAAGTTCTACATTGTCGCTGACTGACTGAGATATTAACTGATTGCTATGCAGTAATACCTCATGTATTTCGGAAAATGCTACTCAAAGGAGCTAAAATTAAGATACTCAAGACATCCAGATCAACGGATAGATACTTAAAAACAGAACTACTCAGTATTTTTCCCGATTTTGGTAAACAGTCTATTTATATGCAAGATATTTGACGATCTTAATGACCATAGTTGAAGACCCAAATGAATTTTTTAAAAACACCCTATGATTTATAGATTGTTATTACACAATTTCGCCCCAGTGTGTGGTAATGAACTTAAAACACGAATTGATCAATAAATGCCCTCTTCCTTCTTTTCTCTAAACTTCAAATTTAAAAATCTACGCTTTTAACTAAGAATATGTCTTTATTTAGTAGAGGAAAACCTTGACGTTCAAAGCTGAGTAGCCTGGATTGCATGCATAATCTCACTCTAGTATCTTAAACATCTTAGTTTGTTTACTGAAGTTTTGTTAAACAGAACAATTAACCAATACTTACCATAAAATACCTCAGTTACCCGTCCATAGTATTCTGAACATAATTTACATAATTTCGTTGATAGGCTTTCAAGTAGCTTCCTTGTGTCGACTCGAAAACATTACAAAGACATTAGCTTACAGACAAGATAATAGGTAAGTTAAGTAAAGAAATGACTGTCATCTAGATAAACATGTAAGTTTATCTATAGTTCAAAAAGATTAGTACTTTCTCTTCTGAGGACTGGATAGAAGTAATTAGTTACCATATTTTTAATGATACATTCACTAACAACTGTTGCTATATTTGATAAATTCTAGTCTGAATCTTAATTACTATAAACAAAAGAGGAAAATGGTAAAATTAGCACTTTATGAGTAATTTCTTAGCCCAGCATGATGTAAGTGGCAACAAACTATTGTCACTGAGATCCATCCACCTAACTTACGTCAGTAGATCAATAACTAACACTATTCATTCAACATTAAAAGGCCTCTGCAATATAATACAAAAGCGAATTATATACCCACCTCTATAACTACAGAATTTAATCTTATTCTGTAAAAACGTTTAGCATTATCATTTTGGCGATGTACTCAGCTGTATTTTGTAATGCATTATATGCTTCTAGGTTAGTTGATCTTCGGTGAGCCCTGTGTAATATAAAGCAATGTAATTAAATGTCAATCGTTGGTTTTTTCTTGAGATTTTTTTAAAGATGAAGCTAACCTCAGATAAAAAAAGGTAAATATATATCGCCAAACCAGTGGACTTGCTAAGTCAACATTACAAAATTACCATACAAGTATCCTTTTACCAGTGTCGAAAATTGTTCCATAGTTAGCAAAAGTTTACTTGATGGCTTCAGAAGGATCTGTCGCACGACAATATAAATCATAATATAGGTGAGCCGGGAAGTTGCGGTTACGCATTGGGAACTCAACTGTCAAGCACACCAAATTATGTAGTCCAAGAGGATAAGATTGTTTCCTATGATTTCGTACTCTTTTACATGAATATTTCTCGAGCCGTGTTAGTAGTGTTCATCCGGTCAAACCTCCACGAAGTATTTTCTCAGCATTATAACAGTCCTCTAACTATTAAAGATTTTCAACCAAGTGCTTTGGATTAATACAGACACTAAACTTAATGTGTATTAGAAGTGTATTGAACAGAGAAGTAATTAAACGAATTATTTTTTAAACACTAAGATACTGCTAATGATGACTAAATTAGAAACCACTAAGCCTACAAAGTGTTGGTAATATTCAGGAATGATTACACCGAGTCATAAAACTTAAAATTCTATTTTTAGAGACTTAGTAAGAAATCTTGAAATGCTCATTGTCTATTACGTTTGCATGCTATTGACCAACTAGTATTTTCACTAATGATTCCTAGTATCGTTTTTTATACATCCTAAAATTTTCTTAAACCAAGGAATTCCTTTTATAACATTGGTCTTACTTGAGTGAACATTTCTGTAATTAAAAGGTAGCGGCAATACTCTCCATTTTAGAACCCTGACTAATCAATATGAACTAATCACGAGTTAGAACTTACATTGATAAACAATTCGACGAAAATCCAACAAAACTCTATAATTCTAGTTCAACGTAATTAACAGCATTGAGATGATTACCACTGGCGAAGAAACATCAAAGGTCAATATACAGTACAATATCCTCGATTAGCACTGAAAAAGATTTTTGGATTGCAAATGACCTATGGCTCTGTCCTACATAAGATTCAATGCTGAAGACCACAGCACTTTCAGAGAGAAAATTTTCTGTGAATAATCCTGTTCAAGAAACATCTTTGAAATGCAGTAATGGATGACGTGGGCTCCAGCTTTCAAAAAAGCGTGAATTTTGTAAACGTTTTACATAGATTTTTTTTGGGGAATTCATACAACAGTCAGAAGTCTATTTGAAATAGGACCCTTCCAAATATACTGTCTATAGCAACTAAATATGTAATCTACGCAACAATCTGAACTGAGAGACACAACTAAACACTACAAAATGGCAAAGGCACTGTTAAAAGCATTGACTATTTTAACAATAAACTTATATTTTTATTATAAAAGAAGTCAAATCAATAGATGCGAATAATAATATCAATCAAAATTATGCAGAGGAAAAAACACAAATTATTATCAACAGAGTTCATGAAAGCAAATCTATTCTATTGTAATATTGAAAATAGTAATAATAATGATAACAAAAATTATTTATTTATGAATCGTTCACATTTGTATCGGATTCATCATTATCACCAGAAATCTAAAAAGTAAAAATTTCAAAAATATCCAAAGATATTACAAATATGTAAAGAGGTAACTTGTGTGTATAAAACGGGTTAATACAGATGAATTGATCCAGTGAATTAATAATCATGCAAGATACAGATGTATTAACGAAGTTATAGACTACATTAAACGTTTAAACTGGATAATGTGACTGAAGTCTAAACATATGGGATAGTATTTACCTTATTATCAATATATTGTCAATTGACTAATGTGGTAAATTTAGCACGTTGTATTTCATCTAAGTGGTGGGACGATAAAGTACTGATTGTGAAACATACAAGCCCTCGGTTCAATCACTAATGGGGCTGTAAATGATCTAAACTGTTGAAGAGAGCCTCTGACTGCGACAAAATAACTGAATACTTTCTGGTTTCCTATTACTGTTTAGCTGATCAGTCAGTGATGAAAACCAGGATTGATAGAACATGACCAACATTTATAAACACAGAAGTGTCTAAACTTTGATTATCAGAAAATAGTGAGTGTATACAAAATGAACATTTTCGCACAAAGATAAAAATTAACAACTGTATTCCAAAACGAAGAAAACTTTCGCAACATTAAAAAAGTAAATGTACTTTGGGAAACCAAAAATAGGGTATTAAAATTATTAAGTGTAAAAATCAAAGGTTTAAAACTGAGGAGAACTGCAGAGCTATTAAGCAACCATACCGTATGACACAAATTACCTCTAGTTAACACAGTGAAATAATACCTAATCTGATATCTATATAAGATTGATTCGAGTTTGTAGTTTGCACTACTTATGATTCCCAATATAATTTTTATATTTAAATCTTACTAAATTTGATAGAATGTTCTTTTTAGTATATCAATTCCTAGTATCTAAATAAATACTAGCTGCCTAATAAGAGCCATTTATTGAAGAACTAATTATTGTTAGAATCCTGTAAAATACTTTTTGTACTTCATAACCACCTGACTGCAAATACCAATAAATATTTGTCGATAAGCTACATATTGAAAAACGACCTTCTTCAGATTGAGATCAATCAAAAAAATTCTAAACTAATTTCTGGGAAGAAAGCAATATAAAAGGGAGAAAAGCAGCAGGAGGAGTATCAATCTCAAAATGCATAAAAATTGGGATTTCACATCAACGAGACTGAAAAAAGTAGGTATGATTAATTATCACATAAAGGAGCATATTTTCAGATATTTACACTAAAGCACAGGAATATGAATGGAGAATATATTTTCAATAAATTATCTTATGGTTTTACAACTTCATATCCAAATTAATAGTCCAAAAACGTGTCCAGGTTTAAGGCAAAGTACATCATTTAAAATGTAAGGGTGATTTTTTTTTAACATGGTTGAACTACAACTCTATATTGCAACAAACATACACCACAATGAAATGACAAAAACTCCGGATTGAAAATAAATATGTAAGGAGACAAAAACATGTGTGCCAAACGAAGCGGAAAACAATTATGAATAAATGTACTGAAACCTTAAGATATTCATTAATACGATCAAATTACTTGTAAAATAAGAACTCTAAGTGTAATGAAATTAAAATAAAACAAATGAGTCATACATTTATTTTAAAATTTTAGAGATAATAGTAATTAGAAAGAACCATTTTTCGGTTTGATATTCAGAGAATTTTAATATTTTGTCACTGACTAACGAGTGCATTGCAGTACACAGATTTTATCCCACCTATCATCTACCACAAAGTTATATTTGAAGAAACCTTAGTCATCGAAATCACATGACTCCAACTTCCCGAGTTAAATTCAAATTTCTTCAAGAACGGACAGTGGACTTATACCTATTACCTTGTGAAATAGAGCATAGGTTGCCGATCAGGATTCTTTAATCAACCCTGTGCTGGGCAATTCTTTCCAGTTGTTATTGATTTTTTTCAGACGGTAAACAATGACAGGTTAAGGGTCAACAATAACCAATCAAGATCAAAGTCTGCAGGAGAAGCTGTGAGCCATATGTGAAGGAATTCGGACACTTCACTTCTACCTGAAGTTTATGCTTATGATGTCGTTCAGAATAACGATGAAATCTTCATGACTAAACCATCCAACTCAGGGAACAAAACTCTATCAAAATTTTTATTCTTTTGATGTCTACATCCAGTGTGTTTGTGAGTCTTCGTCTTAATAACTAAAATTTCTAGAAGCATAGATTTCCTCTTTTACTATACTATGCTTCCCAACAATTTGAAGCTATCCGTTCAAAATTGAGCATATTATTTATACATAAGTATATTCAGAAATTTTTAGTTGAGATGTGTCCTCAAAGTATCGGTATAGAGTAAAATTGACGTCTAACTGAATCTCGAGAGTAGAAAACTTAGGGAGATTAATACAATTATACGTCTGGATGAGGGTGGATCAGTATTTTTATTCTCCACCAGATTCTGATAAACAGGCAGTGATGCTAACACCAGCAAGTTCTTTACTCGTACGGGGAGAACATACGTTACTAGAAATTTTATGTAAAATAAAGTAGTCCGGCAAGGATTTCATAAGAATTTCCATCCGAGTTGATGATAAGTGGAGTCCACAAATGATGTCTGTTTTCATCACTTGACCGAGATAATTTCACACATAAACTGAGTTTTAAATATTCTTTTATCATAGTTATTCAACTCGAAATAGCCGTACGGACATAAGTACAAAAATGTGAACCATAAATTTGAGATGGATAACAACGCATAGCCAATAAGAATTCAATAGATTCAATGTAAATTGATTGCATGACTTAATAATTTAGATTCGAATACACATAACCAAGCTATAGCTTCATCGCACTGACAAATTCTCAACCCTTCAGTTTTACTTATGCGCTTTAGTGAAGGTATAAACAAGTCTTAGAATGTGAGTTCATAAACATCTCCACTTACGAGAGAAAATGTTGGCTTCTCAGTGATCGGTTCGAGTTCGATTTCTGTAACCGGTTCTTGTACATCCAAACGTTCTTTCATGTGTTCAAGGAGCGTCACTAGTCTTTTCAAATCCATCCAGTTTATTCCTTTTGACTAAAGAACAAAGTAGAGACAAAACCCAGTTTAATATCCAACCAAGAGGGAAAAGTGAACCGGTTAAAACTTTCTTTCTAAACTTAATCAGTTCAGATCACACACGAAAAAAATATTTTCTCTGCTGATAATGAATTAAACTAAAAGAACTTAACACGACTTATGTTCATTCTTGAAATCTAGAGAATTCGACCAACCATCAATTACTATGATATAATCGTTCATAGTCAAGATACATTTTCTTTTCCCTGAGAAATAAATTTTGTTAACTAACAAGCGTTGATAAAGCACAAACCCTTCCCATTTACGCTGAGCATAGTTGTTACTCACAGTGTTAATCACAAATATTGGAAATTGTAGCTTAATCAAGTCAGAATTCTTGTCCTTTCGAGGTGACTGACTCCTGAGTTTGTTTTTTGACACAATACGTTACTTTTGTACTAATTATCAGATAAATTCTGTAATTCTATGTTGTTCCTAACCGATGACTAGCCGTTAATAGGGTTATTTTGTTTCACCTAATTAATTTTTTTTCAAAATTATTAGGAAAATCGCATGGACCTAAAATTTTTAACTGAGGAAGTCTAGTGAAGCTGTAGTGTGCTAGAGGAAATTAGGATCAGTCAGTCAGTTACAACGTAGGACCAGGCACATATATGCATCGGTCCAAGTTGCCATACCTCATTAACACAACAAGATGAACACCGGATTCATAAAAGTAGTTAATTCAGGGATGGTAATATGCAAAAGAAAGATTGTATATAAGGATAGGAAATTAGAATAACACTATACTAATACTTCAGGAAATTATTTTTATACTAAAACCCTAGAATTATTTTATGCTAATCTTGATGTCATTCATTCGCTTTGCTCAGAAAACTATCCTATCAAATCCCACTCGTACTCTAGAAACATAAATCATTATAAAGCTGTTAACAGAATCCTACTGGTAGTTGACAGAAGCAATCAAACAAACATTCAGTGGAAATATTTGCTCTAAGTAGAATAGTCGTGGCTTGGTTTAAGTTGATCAACATTTTATAGTTGGTTTCGCGGATGAATATCAATTCATCACCAAATAGCTTTAATTTTTTAAGCTCAAGGAACTTAATGTGACCATTAATTAACATGATTAGCTAGTGTTCATTGTCACTAACGTGTACAATTAATCAACATAAAAGCCTTATCTACCTGGGTGCTAGTACTCAGTAAGCTATACTTGAAGCCCTAATAAACTTGATCATACTGTTTGGACTTATACACTAACATAATACTAAGAATACGGACGTTACCAGTAAGCTAAGTGAAATCCAAATAAAATGAGATCATTTAGTTCAATCCAATTTAGTGAAATGCACTAAAATTATGTTCGCCCAATAACATTGTATTTTAATTATTTTTTAAGAAGCATTAGTAGATAACTAGTTTTTGTACTACTTTTAATCTCAAGTAACTCATATTTTCATCATACCAGTAATCAGATTACCTTTGGGGCTAAAAGTCGCATTTTAAAGATATTAAAGCATGGGAGTAAAACGGGAAATATTTGCCAAAAAAAACTAACCTCTTTAATTTGATCCTCAAGTTTTCGAACATTCTCGAGAATAACAGTAATACAACGTGCAACTATAGGAAGGCTTACAGCCTTAGCAGTAGAGTAAGCTAATTCATACAAAGCAATAGCTTGTGAAAGAGTATTTCTAATGGTAGCCTTTGAAACTGTTTGATTTAGGTTACTTCCGTAAGTCGCAAGCGTAGACAGAAGTGAATTAGCACGATCAACTGTTGAATGAATTAATGTAACAGCATGAATTGATGCTCTATGTTGTAGACGCACGAGTCGTTCTGTTGGTGTAGCATCACCTCCTATAGAGAACTTTGGATCCTATGAGACAAAAAAACTGACAGTAGTAATTTAAATAAGTAATCTTTAAAATAATGCAAAATGTTTCAAGATAACTCAACTTTTGTTTCAAAATGCAAATACTTACATCATCTTTCGGAAGATACAGATTAGCACAAGCCTCGGCAATATTCAGGGCACGGCTTGCAGTGGGTAGAATTATACATTCATTTGAAGTGTTCTTAATCTGTGCGCACGCTGCTTCAGCACGATCCAGAACATGTTGACAAGCCATATCATCGATCTTTTGGACAATTCCTGTAGAACACAAAAACGTTTTCGCTCAAACTATGTATGCGAAGATACCACATTTTCAAGAATACCCGATACACTCTGAATAACCTCAAATATAATTGACATTTCGAGTTTTTCTAATCGGAACGTACAGATATACTCAGAAATCTCATTAAGCGGTAAGCCCCAACCATTCGGTGTTAAAACATTTTGCTATTACTCACAAATAAGTGTAACGTACGTGCATTTTACGATAAAGAAGAGAAATGACCACTGTAGAGCAAAGAATTACACACAAAAGTTCTCCCTAAACAAACCCATCACATCCAGCTTTAATAACGATCCTCTTAAGCAAATATCACGAAGCAGCACCAACTGGACCAAATTTGTCTAACTTAAGTAAATACATATAATATGTTTTCAGTTGACTGAATCCTCATATAGTGAATGTTGTGCTTTATAAAACTAGTGTACTTTACACCTTAGTTATAAACTGTTCTACATGGTTTATTAGTTACCTAGAATATCTTACAATGGTGAGAACTTCTAGCCCTAAAAATTTCATTGATCTAATTTATAAGGCTAGTATATAAAAAAAGAAATTGATTGAGATAATTGAAAGTTCATAAACCTTACTGTCACAACTAAACACTGACCGAGATCATTACAGACATCATTACTTCAGGTAGTACCAAGATTCATACCTTACACCAGAAGTATACCCTAAAAAACCTCTTTTCAGAAAACACTATTCAGGGCATATAGGCAAAACACAACGCGTATATTATCATCGAGTGACAAATAATTTTTAACTCTGAAACGTCTATTACATGTTATATAGTAAGGGATTTAAAGCAAAGTATGAACCGGTCTGTTTTTATATGTAATCTACTATAAATACAACCTTACCGCTTTCAACAATTGGTTTGATCACAGATATAGCTTTATCTTCAGCTGTTTGTATAATTGGGCCTACAGACTCCTTTTTCTTGACCCAATTGTAAACATCTAGTGCGGTCTTGTAAGTATCACCAACTACAGAATAACCACACAAACGCGTTGCAAACGTAGTCATTACAGCGAAAATTCAAACGTGAGTCAGAACCCAAGGTAAGCAATAGATATATATTCACCCTATTGTTCAATATGCAATGCTCCTATTTTTAAGCTAAATAAAATAACGGGTGGTTTTCCATTGTTATTCTCTGAGTAAAGAACAACTGAATATAAAATGCTATTTAGCAGCATACAATGTTATGAAAACTGTTTCTTTCCTATAGAAAGCCAAACAACCAATGAAGGGGAAATAAAGGAAAACAAGAGAGAAATAAAGGTAACATTACGTTAGAAAATAAACGAAAAACAATGAGAAAATGCGCCCAAATGTCTGCTTCTCCGCCCGTCATGCGAAAATAATGCTCAATTTTCTTTTTTTCTGTTATGAGTGTTACTGAATCGTCTAGTTTTCTCCTACGTGAAGTGTTACATACAGTTTTATTCGTTATTGCTAAACAATGCGCAAATAAAACAGATAACGACGGTTGTAAATTTAAACTAGTGCATACATGTTCCTGTTTTCTCCGATAACGCCTTTGAATTTTGCCTCTCATGTCGTGAAACTAACTTTGCATCATGAACCAGAGCAAGTTGTTTTTCCTTGACGAATTAAGATACGAATCGAGAAGTTGTAGAACCATGGTCTACTATGATATTAGTACTGCTCTAATAATAGACCTAATCCCAAAATTGTGGATTTGTCCTGATATAACTGCCTGATCTATAAGATCTTACGCGGAAGTCACAACATCGACTACACCAACTCACTATATCGTATCAATTACCAATACATGATGTAGAACAAGGTTAGGCTAGAGAGGAAACAATATATTTAACATGAATAGAAGATATAAGGTAACATTCAGAAGGACCACGCCTGCATGGCCGAGCCACGCCATCCGATCAACCCTAGTTCATTCAATTCCTTGTTCGCGCCTTCTCTATCGTTAGGTATTTCCCCGCGTTAAATATTGAATATCTATTTTCTGAGTAATCTCGTGTTCAGCTTTGTGGATTGTGTGGTTATTGTTCAATGCCACTACAAAGTCAACGCACGTCAAGGTTTGCAAGAACGGTTCTTACTTCATATGGAGCCGTAAAGCCTGCACTTCTGAATTGCTCTTTTCGATAAATAGCCACGTATTGTGAGATCGCTGGAAACTTCAGATGTCACAACGTGTGACAATATATAGCTCATGTACGTATTAGGACTATCTTCCATTAACCGCCTCAACATGACCATCTGGAATAAGAACAAATAATCCAGTTTATTTGTTGACTTGCAAATGAGCACCTTACGTCTTCTTGCTGAAGACATGAATCCGACGTTATAAGTTCCTCTCCAGATGACAAAGGGAATTACAAACTTGATACTCCGATGTCAAATTTCTGTGGATGTTCATGTCCATAAAATTTCGACATAAGCTGCATAATATTTGCACTCAAGTTAGAAATAACTGACGATATGTTATGAATTACAGCATATGGCTTGTCAGATCCTAAGCATCCAGTTGTACAAGTGAAATTAATTTCACTTGTAGCAGTAAATGAAACCCCGAAATAAATAGTTCCATCAGTCCTTACTAGTTTTTCTGGACATAAAACACGTTGAAACGCTCTCGCTCAAGCATAGAATACTGAATGAAGTAATACTAATTTTTCATAAGATTAATCGAGCAGACTAACTGATGTTGCATCAGATTACGACAAAAACTGACTACAAAATTACATCTGGCATCAGTATTCTTCTTTTAGAAATCACACATGATTTAAGTTATTCGCATAAGCTTTCGAACAACGAACTTTTGTGTCCATTACCAAAAGACCACACATGTTACTAGGGGTTGTGAGCAAAATAACACAAAAGTGGCTTCGATACAACTGTATGAGTCGCCATTTAGAATCTGAAAGAAAATACACAGAGGTCGCTTGAGAGATTACAAAGAAGTGATTGAGACTGCCTAGATATCAGTGAGTTTCAAGAATGTACACTTGCGGGGTAAATTGTGAGGATACGCTGAATGTGACACAACCAGTCCGTACTAATTTGAAACTACTCGAAGACGACTGCAGCGGAAACGATTTACGAAGGTGATATTTTTGAGGAAAACTTCCTTTGAACCTGTAGTGAAGTGGAACAATAAATAGAAGGACTGAGTACATGTTGCAGATAGAACATCTCACATTAAGTTGTGCTTTGATCAGGCATGGGCTGAGTACCTTCAGCTATTAGCCATCACAAAACAGACAAGTCAGCATCAGCGTCGAATTTCTACTTAGCCATTGTTTTGAATTTCTTTACGTCTACGAGTCACGGCACTTTAACGATATCATGTAGACCCCCGAACTTCTCTGAGATGTTTAAACGTGGGAGGTTTGGCACTGATTGATAGTATTCGGTTAGCCTGAGACTGGTATAAGTGTACGGGTATCTGTATTTGTACATTGGGGTCGCTTGATAATCAATAAACGTACAACGGTGGTCGTTATTCTTCGTGTCATTTTTGAAGTAGGTATGAAATAAGTAACTAAAGTACATTATAAAGAAAAATACTTCCACAAGCCCTGCCAGATTTACAAAAATATCAGAGCAAAAACATTTAGCATTGATTAGCGACGAAATTTTCAGTTTGCTTAGGTATATGTATCGTCTTGCTTTTTCGCGAAATATATGCATACGTCAAAGTGGGTTCGCTTGAGACATTTTCCGATTAAATCAATGGCATGCTACTCAAATTCATGCCTTTAAACCGTTCGAGATCCATTGTAAGTTGCACCAAAAGGTTTAGGTTAATAAATTACTCGCTGAAAAATTCCAATTATATTAAAACATAATTTTGTGAACGCAGAATATTCTTTTCAATCTGGTGAGAACCTAATGAGAAATTATCAAAAAGAATATTCTTCGCTCATAAAATTGTGTTTTGATAAATTACTTCCTACATAAATGTGTGTAATACACAGTTGGTTGACTTGGACAAAGATTTTAGTTAAATGGGATTGGACGAACATAGACTTGAGAAAAACCGTGATGCTTATGAGCCGGCATACGTCGGAGGTTTTCTTAATATCAAGTGAGAAAAATAGGGGGGCGATAAGTCTCCTGAAAGTAGGAAAGTTGCACTATGAATGACTTCAGCAACAACAGTTTCTCATTCGGTTTTATTGCAACTCGAATCCCTGAAAAGGTGAACTACGGCTTGCCTATGGACCACGATGTGTTCATGCCTTTACCAAGATCAGTATTTATCAATGGAATCACTTCAACGCATCAGAGGCTTTTTGGTGGAAGACTGTACAACTTTACCGACATAATGTTTCTGAACCCTTCTTTCAGCTATTTGTAAAATGCTTATTTATCCAAGCTTACAAACTAACAATTTTTATTACGAGCATCTTCATAGTGATGACTTCGTTGGTAAGGCGTTCCCACGTTTGGATAACATGAGAGAATATTCAAAAAAACAAGCTGAGTTGTGACATCTTATTTGAAGATTATCTACGTGAGATGAGGATTTGGTTGTAATTCATTCAAATGATGATCTTCAAAATACATCTGTGTGCCTCAAGTAAGTCAACAAGACACGGGCTTAAAGTATTATGTAACAGTTCGAAACTACCAACCTTTTGCGTTGAATATAATAACCCCTGAGCTAGCAACCCCCATTTGTTTCAAGTGTCATATGCAACGAGGCTCTCCATGGGCTGCTTAAAGAAAACATGTTGTCTCTTGGGATTTCTTGTTTTCCGGGAAAAAGTCACGTTGTCTTCGAAAACATAAATAAGTTTAAATTTGTCACATCTAACATCGCTGTTTTCTCTCAACGTTTTGTACTTTGGTTTTCGAAATTCCGGATACTTGCTAAATGTTGATGAGATGTAAATGTCAACGGCATGTGTGACTAAAACATGACATTGCTCTACTAACGGGTTGTTTTGTGATTCCGTTTACTAACCTCTGTTTACTTAGGTTGGTAAGTGCGTTAGATTGTTCAGGAAGTCCGTAAAATGAGAAGAATTGAATCATCTGTAAAAACCCAAAATGAAGCGCAGTAGTGAGACTGGATTCCAAATAATTTATCAACGGTAAATCGCTTCCACGTGCGCAGGAAACACCGAATTATGGGCAACGGTAAGCTATAACTTAAAGACAACTGCACGTTGCAACCCCTAAAGGTTTCCGAGCGTTATGATCAGTATTTTGATCGTTCAGATGTACTGAAGAGTTCTGAATTTTGTATACCACCTGTATTGGACTACATCTAGAGTACTGTATCCAAGCAGCTAGCACATTTATGAATAAAGGTGCTGATACACGTGAGAGTGTTCAGCCTTTAAAAACAAACTTGGTGACTGATATCTGCGAACTGTTCAACGAGTAATGCTAAAAACGCCCTAATCTTTTCCTCTTATCACAACGTAGAGCGCGGGATGATCTTGTATTTCGGCATTCCGTATCTCTAATACTGGTTTGAGTGTTATTGTATCATACGCTTTTGCACTCTTTAGAACGAATCATCTACGAGGTCACAGCATGTATGTTCAGAAACCGTGAACTGATACATTCAGTGTGGAGTTCCGTTTGTCTCATCGAGTGGCCAATGATTGAACCGAATTACCCGATCAGGTGATGTCGGGCTTATCATTGAATCTTGTCGGGGTGAGGCTGGATCGTCACTTAGAAAAAAGCTGTAGGATTGACACAGATTCACGCAACTACTATTGTTGTCGCTGAAGACTGGCTTACTTATGTTCAATGTACAAAGTTGCAATGCTCAGCAAACTGTCACCAAGCATATAGTGGCTAATTTAGAAAAAGTTGTAGCGAGTAATTCACATTGTAAAATGCTTTGAAGGAACAGGTTAAGGATATGAGCAATCTTAAATTATTTTTACGTCAGTATGAAAATCGTTTTTTATGGAACAGCGAATGATGAGAACGTGATACAGTTATCACTGATCAACAGATTTAGCATGAAATGTGAAGTTTTTATGGGAATAATGAGGGTTTTCTCGCGGAATGACATGAACTTTTATGTAAGGATAAATTCACACCGAAATCGGGTTTATTTGTCCATATTCACTACTTCTACCAGTCTACAGTAATAAGGATAGTAGGTTGGTGAACCTGTAGAATTATAGTCTACTATGATATTAGTACTGCTCTAATAATAGACCTAATCCTAAATTTGTAGATTCGTCATGATATAACTGCCTAATCTATAAGATCTTACGTGGAAGTCACACCATCGACTACGCCAACTCACTGTATCGTATCAATTACCAATACATGATGAATAAGAAGGTTAGTTTAGAGAAGGAACAATATATTTAATATGAATAGAGACCACGCCTGCATGGCCGAGCCATGCCACTCGATCAACTCCAGTCAATTCAATTCATTGTTCGCGCCTTCTCCATTTTTAGGTATTTCTCCGCGTTAAATATTGAATATATATTTTCTGAGTAGTCTCGTGTTCACAGCTTTGTGGATTGTGTGGCTATTGTCCAATGCCACTACACTACTCTCCCACCAGAATCAACGTGATGTTGGTTCGATACCAAATTGGATGGGATCGTCGTGCGCCGAAGGTTACCAAGACTAGGAAGAATCCCCGGGGTAATGATAAGCTGAAAGATAAATCAAAAAGAAGGCGGCAGC